TATATATATATATGTATATATATATATACATCCTCAGTATATCTTAAATTTCTTCTAAGTTTTTTTAGGTACATATTCTGGTGGATGTTTGAAAATTCCTCGATATATATCTGTAGGATGTATTTAGGATCAATTTTTGCTGTGTGGGTTGTGTGTTTTCATTTGATGAATCTGTGTCTTCCTAACTTTGAGCCTAGCTAGGAAACAGGAAAATGTGGGGATTAAATCTGATGAATACGGGTAATTAACGGGTAGTTAATTAATTCGAACCGTAATTCGTAAATTTTTGTTGTGGAATCGTCGATATTTTTTCCATTTTTATAAAAACACTGACATCAACTAGCACAAATGTCAAACAACAACTGAGCGTTCAAAATGATTACAATTTTTCACAGATATTTTGCAAAACATGTACAATTGTAGTACTAGAATGATTTTAACGAGTAATGCCATTTTCATGTTGAGGCTCACAACTTTTCAAACGGCTCTCGTACATGAGAAATTAATAAAATTATCAAAAAAAAAAAATAAAATATTCGGAGATTCAGAAAGCACACTCTGGAAGAACTTGGAAATCTCTAGGAACTTTGCCTATTCGATTTACATATGCTAATTCTTATAGAACTCTTGGATGTTTTCTTCTTACGAGAAGCAAGTCTATCTCGTAGCAAGACCGTATATGAAAATAGCAGATTTTGCTCGGTTTCTGCTGCCAATTTACCGTCAGGTTATGCAGTAGACTCTGTCCGATTTATGTCATAAAATCAATTTGCTGCCATAAAAAAAAAAATCACAGATATCCATATTAAGATCCATATTAAGATATTACTCAAGACAATCTTGTAATAAAAACGGACTATGAATACCGGCTTAAGTATTATAAATTAAGAGATATACTACTAATTCTCGCTAAAATATATTCAAAATATTGAAATATCTAGCTATTTTAAAAGAGTATTATTTAATATTCTACATGAAAGAATTATATATATATATATATATATATAGAGCTATTTTTTATTAAATAATTTATAAAGTTATATTTGGGGGATAAATATTTATACTTCTTGTGTTATTTTTTTATTCATTTCTTATTATCTTATTATTTTCTATAAAAAACAATACAATTACCAAGAACGGCTAATATGCTATCATACGAAGATATACAAAATCCTAGCAACAGTGATACATAACAGTAACAAAGACACCATCAGTTTAGATGCTCCGCAGCCGTAAGTCACATGTTCCAGAGGATGTTCTGTGAAGCAACTCAGCCTGCGTCTTTTTAAAGTGTTCAATGAAATTTTGTGACAGGGTTTGTCGCTCGTGTTATTTGCGTACTCAAAGGGTGAGATGTTGACAGGTGTTACTTCTAATTTTATGTCCAAGCACGTTGAATACGTGTTGTTCACCACAACTAGCAACAGATTAGTATGTGCAACCTGTAATTATTACAGACGATTATTTTTTTTCAATTATTCGATTGCTGTATCATTTCATAAACTGAAAAATAAAGAACATAGGAAACTACAAAAGAGCATCAATCAACTCTAAAGATCATATCAAAAATATCATTAATAAATTAAGAAATAATTTCTCATAAATCTGTTTTAATTTAGATTCTAATATTAAAAATTTTGATATATTTATTACTTCTTCTTTCATCAACGTTCGTCGATGATTAACATACTGATTCAATTAACTTCACTTTAAATGCATTATTCTGATGCATCGTAAATTGTATAATTATCAAATTGTAAAATTATTGATAGTACAATAATCTAATAATTATTGATATGCACAAATAATCATTTTTAATTATTCACGCATACTTCTTTTTTCTTTGTACTTTACTTAATTTTATGATTATTTTAAGATTGTTGATCTTAAAAAGTATGATATTTGTATGACAGTGATTTGTAATTACAGTTTTATGCTAAGTCTCTACACTTATTAAAAACTGCTAGAGCCACACTTATCAGAATTAAAGTAAAATGTTAGTAATTGCAAACAAGACATAAAATAAATTTTAAATAGATAAAAATATATTTGTAATATTGTTTAGTATGTATAAAAATCGTAAAATCTTATTCTCTCCATCTCAAGTAAAATAAAAAATATTTTTATTAAAATATATTTACTCTCTGAGCGTAAAAAGGCTGCGAACAATAATCGGAGTGATCGGTGACGCCTTTAGCAGCAACGGTCTCATTCAACATATAGAGTGTTCGCTTTTGATCACAGGAATAGTAATCAATAAGTGGTTCTGGTGGTGGCGGCGGATCTGGTGCATCCTCATCGAAGTGGACTTTGCCATGAATGCCGGGCAAGTTTACAAACTGGGTCGCGTACCATATCAACCGCAGCAGAAACCAGAGCAATAATCTTGCAACATGTTGCAACGGTTCCATTAAGATGTTGGCAGAGTTATTGATTAGCTGAAACAATTTGCGGCTCTGTAAAAAAGCATCCTCTTTTTTTAAATAAAAAAGAATAATAATAGAAAAGCTTTGAGAACAACTTATTTTTTATGCTATTTTTTATTCTCTCACCAAATACAAAATCCTTTTTAATTTTTATAATGATTAAAAACTCAACTCTGTGAAATCTATTTAAATATGATCTTTTTTAATATAATCAATATTTTTTATTTTTATCGATTATCATATTGTTTTTTGACATATATTACTTACAATCTCATTACAGCACCATGCTTGATAATCAAAGATGTCAATCGGATTATAAAGACCCTGTTTGACCATGGATAGCATGACGGCACCCTCCTGAGTGCCCATAAATTGTCCGGTGTCATTATGTTCGTCTGAGATCACTATGTAACCGTTTTGGTCTAGCAGGTAGCAGTCAATCCAATCGTGGATGCAATTTATTATCGTATTTGTCTGATTGTTTGAGATTAATGCAATGAATTGCTTGTACAGATCTTTCATCGGCATCTGAAAACCCACTACAGCCGCTGGTGCTTTCTTACCGCCATCCTTAGGCGATAGACTCATCGAAACAGTCACTATCGCATCCACGCCTGCTTCCCATGGAACTGCAATATACTTTGTTTCAAATATATATACTACTACAAATAATTATACTACTACTTATTTCAAATATAAATTATATATAATAAATAATTATATAAATGTCGATTTTAAATAAATCACAGAATGATTATAAAAGATAATTTAAAAAAAAATTTAATGATTATTTTTTAGACTCAGCTAAATTAAATCAATCGTGAAATAATGCCTAGATCTAATCAACAAATGTTTTGATATATCTTTCGGATCCTCTTCAATATAATTTAATGCATATAGAATTCTCCTATATATTATCTATTCGCAATAAGTTAATCTCTTTTAATGGTAAAAACATTGTAAAATATAATATGAGAATATTAAACTTCATTTCTTCTCTGATTATATTATACTTCACAACATTTTTATTTAGAGAGATTAACTTTTTGCGGATAGACAATATATTTTGTATGTATTAAGTTACATTAAAGAGGATCCGAAAGATAAATCGAAATGTTTGTTAATTGGACCTCAATTTAATAAAGAATATACACATTAAAAAACTTTATGTCAGTTCATACAGATGATTTCACGATTGATTTTAAAAAAATACACAAACACACGCACAACATTAATTATAAAAAAATTCTATTGTATGTCCTATCCACAATAAATATAATTCTTACCAGATAAATAAATACTTTCGGAATCTAGTTCACTTTGAAAAATCGCGCCTTTGTACCAAGGTTCATTCACTGCTCGTCTATGAAGATCACCGAAAACAACACTGTCATCCACATTCGGCAGTTTGCTGGTTTTAAGATGATGCCACCTGGTCAGCCCGCTTTGCGTAGCGATAAATCTTATAAAAATACCATAGTGATGTACGAGATCCCAAGCCCTTGAAGATAAATTCTCCATATAGTCATCACGAAAGCTGTTGTTCGTCGCCTTAGCATCAAATACAAGCAATTGCATAAGTTCTTTGTTGCAATAGTAGTCATCGTGTTTGAGCGTTTGTCTGCCACAATTGGGTTCTTCATCAACATCTTCATCTATAGATGAATAAGCTTCATATTGCTCAGACCAGCGCCAACCAGGACGGTTTATCAGCGCCAAGAAATGACGCAACTCGTCTTCCGGTTTATTGAACTCATGACCTTCCAAATAATGGTAACGACAATATACCCAGCTAGGATGTACGCGCCAATGATCGCCCATAAAATAATCCGACACATTCACATTCATATTCTGGTTTCTGCGAATCTCATCGCCGACCTTGAAAAATTAGACATACAATAATTTGAGAAAATATTCAATATCATGAGCACAATTGTGTGTATAATTATTACTTGATACAATTCATGCTGTATGTCATTTATTAATTAGTATAATTAATTGTACATAGAATTTTAAATGCGATTATTTAAAAAAGATAGTGAAATTGCTCTGATACTACTTCTATAATACCTTAATCCAGGTAGTTCCATAATTTGATAAAACAACTGCAAGACTAAATGGAGTGCCAGGTAGGGGCGCATAAAAATAATCACGTTTCTCAAGGTTTACCCGACGATTATCATCATAATGTAATTTCACGGGAATCCCCAACATGTTACCTCGCTTGTGATCCACCAGCGCTGATCTCAGCTCCAATAATTCGGGTCCCGGATTCCTGTGTCCATTTTTAATTAATAAATACTTCAAATAAAAGATAATAATAAAAAAAATGTAACGATTAAAATATAAAATGTTTCACTTTTTTAAATAATTAATTCAATATTTTGTATTTATCTATTTATGGAGAAGAGAAACTATAATACTAAATGACGGAAACATTGCGTTATATACCTCGGCTCGCGTTCGTCATCAAGTATCTCTACTTCCGTAAGATCGATGCTATTATAGTTCAATTTAAGCTGGCCTTTGTAATCTGGCCGGAGGTCTGGATGCAATATCACATAGCCATTATTGGATACAATAAAGGCGTAGCCATTCACGCCGAGTTTATATGGCAACGTAAGTTCGCGAATGTCATCAATCAGCACGTCTGTGCCAGCAACGCCGAATAGTGTGTCATTCACCGCATCTGTCATGTTGCTGCTATTGCTCTTACGATCAAACACAGGTGTGCTTATGGAAGTCAACAGTCTGTTGCCATTCTTGTTCTGCCATTCTTGCCGGGTTATAATATTCAAGGTGGATAAATCTTTCTCAATGTTCTTATCCTTCTGTAGCTACACAAAGCGATTGCGAAATTGAAAAACACTTTTCGATTGCAATATATCACCTCCTTTATAATTTTCTTTCGTTAAGAGGAGTGAATACGTCGATAGGTTGAAACAAAAGGGAAGGGCCACGTTATCTAATTCACTCGGGCACTTCAATATCGAGGTATATAGAGCATATACCGGAACCAATTGAAATCTCACGAGAATTGATTACAGAAACATATATTTTTCATCGCGTGTAATATTCTTAAATCAAAATCTGATTTAAGAAATCTCATCGTTCAGTGATATTTTTAAAGACTCGAGGTCTTTGATTGTCCGCTTAATCCTGAATATTTTATACAGCAGCTAATACTGATCTAATAATGGGAAATAAATAAAAAAGAAATGAGTTAAACTAAAATTAATGAAGCCCAGCAAACAGGGTATCTAGCTTGAAATATTCAATTTGTTAATGATAACTAATCGACCAAAGACCATTCGCATCGATTAATCATATCTCAATGTCTAGCAATAAATCATTTGTGGATGTTTGTCCAGTCGATTCTCCGAATCGACACTTCAACGAACTATGTTAATTAATTCCTCTAGATATTAAGCTTTGATTTTAAGATTGAGCGAGATATTCAAAAGATTCTCAAATCTGATTCTGAAATCAGTAAAAAATAATGTTTATTTAATTAAATATGCCATTATTTATTATCTCGCTTGATCTTACACGAATTATCAAATAGAGTGATCAAAGTTGGAAATTTATATCCACTAATTTAAAATATTTTTAAATATATCTTTTCTAAAAGAAGAATTTTAACAAAGTTGCGTCGCGTAAGTTTTATTCCCGTTTGGAAAGATTAAATATATACAGGAATTTGTTCCAAGGGAGATATTGCATGATATAAATCTACACGGAGTGCTTGGAAAACCTAGGAACAGATAGCGGAGATTTCTTTCTTGATCGTATCTAAATCTGCTGTATGTAGATTGCATTCTCGTTTATTTGCACGCTCATCCGTTTTCCTTTCAGATACTTTTCCAGTCGCGACTTTTGTTGCCCATGCTTCATCACTCACCACAGTCAATCGGCAAGTGCTGGATTCTGATGGGATTACGTATGTTTATTTTATTCTCCCTGTATATGTTTTCGCTTTTACATTAAGACATAGTAGAAGATATGAAAAGATGAAATTTGTAGTAACAAATAAATTACAATTGTATTATTTTAAAAACTAATATATAAATATTATTAAAATTTACAATTTTAAAATTGTTTTTCTTCTAAAAATTTTAGATTTTTCATATCACAAATTATAATATCATTTTTAATTTTCAGACAAATTTTTTTTAAACCGAGCAAATGAGTAATATTTGTTATACACAAATTGTGATACAATTGCATTAGATTTATATTAAATAATAAATGTCAGTGTTTTCGTTTGATGAAAATTTCTGTTCTCCGAGCCTAGGAGGAACTTTGATCCTAGGAAATAGAAAAATGCTACTAAATCTGGTGATGGGTGGTCAATCAATTCGAAGCGCAATTCGTAAATTTCCGTCATGGCAACCACCAGTGTTGGAACGTATTTAGATAAAAATATCTAGATACAGATATTTAGATATTTCAGTTATACCTAAGTGTTGTATTATCTAGATTTTTACGGGCGGAAATAGCTGTATCCGTATCACTTTTGGTACGCTATCTTTTAAGTTTTAGATACACAAGAATTTTAGATAAACAAATCTTTTAAGTTTTAGATACTTATACATTTTACTTTATATTATATTATTTACTTTATATTATATTAGAAACTTAATTTTTAATTGTTGTAAATTATCTTTCTTCTCTAATTCTTAACTTTGTATAAGTATTTTCATTTCATCGCCTGGGAGAAAAAATATTTAAAATTATGTAATTTCATATTAGTTATATAAAATTATATATAATTATATACAGGGTCTCCGATCTACGGGATCGCCTTTCACAAGTTGATACTCACGAACTGAACTGAATCGAAAAATCCTTTACAAGCGATTGCGACCGATGGGCGTATATTTGGTGATAGTGCCGATATGTGCATATTTAATGATATTTCGAAATTAAATCTCCTAAAATATAGCATTAATTGTTAAATGGTAAAAGACTTTCAATTCAGTTCAGTTCAATAGTCCATTCTATCTGTTCACGAAAAGTGATCTCGTAGGTTGAAGACATATCCTACATATGAAATATGCACATATTTGAACATATTCTATATGTAATTATATTTAATTTTACATAATCATCATCAAGACATTCTTTTATGTATTAAAACAAACAAATAAAATGTAGTATATTTTACGCTATTTATATCTTTTTCTTTTCTTTTTTTTCCATTTTTCTTTTCTTTCTTTTTTTTTGAATACTTAAAAAAATATCTAAATTTTCAAATACTTTTTTCTTATATCTTATACTTAGGGTAATTATAAAAAATGTATCTGTACTTATATTTAAAATATTTTTTTCACAATACTTATACCTATAACTAGCCTTTTAAACGATATCTGTTCCAACACTCGGCGATCGTCAATATTCACCTTTTTTAATTTTTACAAAAACATTGACATGGACTAACACAAATGACTGTCAAACAACAACAATAGCTACAATTTTCACAAGTATCTTTCAAAGCATGTACGATTGTAGTACCAGAATAACTTTGTTCGAGTAATGTCATCTTTATGTTGAAATTCAAAATTTTTCAAACAATCCTCGTATATTAATAATTTTTTTTTACAATATACTTTTCATAAATTTATCATCATTTAAAAAACTTTTTTGAATTGCTCACAGAATGACGGGAAAAGATTAGATTAAAATTGGACCTTTTAAAAATTTTGTTTCTTACCGTGATGTCAGTATAAGCGTGCGTCCACGCGATAGGATGTACATTCTGAAGTACTAAAGGACGTGCTACGACTGGAATGTACTTGAGCACTTGTTCGCGCACTTCCTCCTGAGTCCGTACTTGCGTATAGTTGCCAAGATTTAGACACGATCTTACCATCCACTGGAGTTCATCCATTTTTGTCACTTCCTTTCCTATAAGATATGTGAATACTCGCACCGGTATATGAGTACTATTTTCATTCCAATTCCACTTTTTGAATACCTAAAATAAAAGAAATAGAAATCACAATCATACAGTAATATTTATTCAGAAAAATTTTTATTATTATTATTTATTTTTAAAACTATTTCATCGATATGTTTATTGCATCGATATGTTTATTGCATCATCTGCAAATGATCTTGGATTATTTGGATATTGTTGTTATTTTTATTTACACATTCTTGTATAGAAAATTTTTCAGAACAGAAAAGAATAAAGGCGAATGGTAAACAAGAATGGAGTGAAATGAATTAAAAAATTACAATTTATTTTAATTTATCCAGTTCGCGATTTAAAGACCGGAACTGGATTGAAATAAATTGATATTTCAGAACATAAATTCGTTTCTGTTCATGAAATGGATAGAAAATAAAACAACTTGAAAATAAATTTCTTCTCAGTAAACAAAAATGGATTAAAATTTTTTAAATGCGTACTTTAAATCCATAAAAATGGATTGAAATGAATTGAATTCGAAATGATTGAAATAGATTGGATCTGCGCTGACACTAGTTTAATATTAAAAAAAAAAACATTCATATTTAAGGATTTTATTCCTAAGATATTTATAGTAATTATACCTGAAATTAATTATTTCAAATTGATATTAAAAAACGCATTTTAGTGGGATTCGAATCTGAGGTGTTATTCTGTACTTGTCTTTACATGCTTTATCGGTGTTGTTACGCAGATATTTTATATGGTAAAAAAGTTACGCAATAACACCGACAACTATCGATAGGCGTGTAAAGACAGTTACAGACTAGTGTTCCTCGGTCCTCTGGATTATGGAATTTTCTGCATTATCCGCTATACCACTTCTTCAATTGATAAGTGTGTTATTTATTATCAACTTCAATTATAACCAGCTAAACAGCGCATAAAATAATATAGATATAATAAAAATATTTTTAACAGATATCATAAAATGTAAATAATTTATATTACTATGAGACAACATTGGGTAAGAATCGGATAACCTAATCTCGCTTGGCTGATGCACTTGGCTGATGCGCGTCGCAATCAGCATAATGTTCGGGCTGGTTTATGAGTGTTCACATCGATCATTCAATTTACTTCTAATAAAAAAAAAATTAAAGAACATAGCTCAATTTATTTATTTTTACAACTTTTTTGAATAATTAGTTGAATTAAAACGAAAAATTCCTATTTATTATTTTGAATAAATTAAGTAGCACACATTTATGGTCCATTTTTAAATAAAAACTTTTTTTATTTAATTGGATTGAAAAACTGTATTTCCTATTCACAATTTTGATTTGAGCAGTATTCATGATGCGTTGTGTGCACAGAAAATGCTAATATTATTTTTAGATTAGAAGGCATTATAAAGATATGCTCTATGCAATTCTTATAAATGAATAAAAATGCATTTAAGATTTATTTTAATATTCATGAATCCATATTTTTGAAAATCTGAATCCATTTTAATTCATTATTTCAATCCATTCTTGTTTGCTGGATTGTAAATATTCTTTTGAATTTATAATAACATTTATAATTCCTTCTTTATAAATATAATAGTATTTTACATTCACTTCGATCGAAATAGGAATATTCTTATTGAATATTGTATTCGAATATAAATTTAGAACTTATATATCAGAAATAATTATTCAGCAAAAGAGAATGGATTGAAATGGATTCAGATTTTTAGAAATATGATTCATGAATGTTAAAATAAATGACGATGCTTTTCAATTCTGAATGCATTTTTATTCATTTATAGAAATTGGAGCATATCTCTATGTCTTTCAATCTAAAAATAATATTAGCTTTTTCTGTGCACACAAACACAATTGTGAATACTGTTCAATTCAAAATTTTGAATAGGAAATGTAGTTTTTCAATCCAATTGAATCCAAAAAAAATATTCGTTATTTAAAATACGCATTCAGATAGAACAAAATCCATTTTAATCTATTCTCGTTTGCTGGATTTATTCAATCAAATAATTATGTTATACAACCTCCTTTAGATTATTCCCCAATGGTCCTCCGGGAACACCATCAGTAACAAGCATGATGAGCTGATTACACGGTGAGTCAACGTTACAGCCGCGTTCCTCCCGATAAATTTTAAGTAGACTAAATGCTTTAGTGAAAGCCTCCGTGAAATTGGCGACATTATCTGTATTAATTTTGTCCATGGAATTTTTGAATGCATCGAGATTTTCTGGAGTGGCTTGAATCAGCATATCCTTAAAACATGGCACGAATTCGGTCGTCTCGTTATTGTATTTTAGCAGTGTGACGAAATCATTGTTCGATAAGGTATCCAGAATCGAGTTCACTGTCGTCTTTGCTGCCATAACATAATTGTTTTATTAAAACGAAGCGATTAATACACTCTTCTCAATATTAAATTACTTTTTAATTATAAAATTAACAGTCGCGATAAACCAATTAAAAATAACAAATATTAATTTATCAAATTGAAAATTTTTTGTTTCATCGTCTTGTTTATCTAAAGCTTTAAAATTTTCGATAAAACTTAATTAATTGATATAAAAGTTTTAGCTATACACTTCCCATTCAATAAAACTAATCTCCCATACCAATCGTCTTTCCAAAGCCCATCATGCTGCCACTGACGTCCATTAGGATCACCATATCCTTGCTGCATGTGGCCGCCTCGATAAACCAATTACGTAATCTGCAGTCGTATTCATCAGCAGGAGAATCATCATCGATGTCTTCGTTATTTTTGCTAACATTATTATTATTATTATCATCATATACCATCATTATCATATTATCATCATATATTGTGTTATTGTTATCTTTATTGATGTCTTTGAGATTCATTCGCCATTCCATAGCAGGATATTGTCGGAGTACACCAGTAACTGTACCAAAGTATTGCCACGACAATGCCGGATCAGATTCGTAATTCTGACGAAATATATCATCCAACAGTTCAGTTCTCGCGATATCTTTTTTTATATCTTCCGTGAGATCGTACACATTGGTTGGTATATGAACTGATGAATAAGTCGTATTTACCGGAATGTCGTAGAAATGCGAGTCCGAAATCAGTTCCATATCTCTAGAATCAGTTCGTAATATCTCTTTGTCGATTTATTTCACGTGATTTATTTTCTGTTTTCGACAATATACTTATTGTTTATACTTATTAACAATAATTTTGTTTTAAATTAGTTTTGTATAAATAATTATTCTTTGAGATTGTGTGTAAAATATTAGTTATTTGAGCAGAAATAAAACTCAAAATTAAATTTACAAATCATACAGTGTATATATAAAATTATATTCTATAATATAATAAAATTTAAATTTAAAAAGGCTTTATAAATAAAATTAAATTATAAGAAAAGGAGCATAAAATACTAGTTCTTTTTTGTGAAAAAACATTCAATCATTATTCAAATCTAATTTAAATACAAATGTTTACAACTAGAAGTTTGAGAATGACATAATAATAGGAGTAGAAAATAGGGGTAGAAAATATTTGTATTTAAATTATAGATTTGAATAATTAATTATTTTTTTGTTAAAAACATTTTTATGATCCTTTTATCTTACTAATATTGATAATTTGACTAATACCGTACAAATCGTGTAATTATGTTACAATAATAAAATGTTTTTACGCCGGGAAAAATTGTAAGAAAAAATGTAATATAATAATCAATAGAATATCCTATTCCTGATTTTATATACAGTCAGTTTAATTACGCACATTTTAGCAGAAAAATAAAAAAGATTCTATAGAATTAATAAAAAAATTACTTTTGTTAAGTTTCTTAGTTGCCTAGTTGTTTATGATAACAAGAGTTTCTCCGCTATTAATAACATTCTATAATAATTCTCATTTGCCCTGATTTTTTTTTGATTTTTTGTTATTATAATAACGTTTCATTTGTATAATTCAGTTTTAATATAAATTCCATAAAAATTCTTGCCTTTTAATCTTACTCACACAGCACACTTTATTCTAGAGATATCCAATAAACGTCATTTTAGGATATGCAATAATCTTGTAATATTCGTGAATGGTCTAAATTATCCAACGGATATCCAAAAGATGTTTACATGTATGAGATCCACTTAAACGATATCTGTGAGATGTTCAACTCTATGAGATATCACAAGTATATATATATATATATATATATATATGTGTGTATATATGCGATTATTATCTAAAATAAAAGGGAAATGTTTTAGGGTATTATATTATGGAAGCGAGGAAAATGTTATTGTCCCATTATTATACATAGAATTTATTATATAATGGAATAAAAGATTAATTTGAAATAATATATGTCACATCTTGTAATTTATATATTCTTAGGCTACATTCGGAAACATTATCCGAATACCTCTGTAGTGTAGCGCCTTTGCAGAGTATATTATTTTGTCTTTATTGTTCACCTAATATTAAACAAGGATACACACCCGGACATTGTTTTCGAATACAGCCTTAGTATAATTTAATATAATAAAATCTTTGTAAGCTTCATTTGAGGTATATCTTAATATATCTTAACGCAATACTTCGTATCATTTATATCCAAAATAATTATGACATATTCTTTACTTCTAATCTTTTAGTTCTGATACTCTCCAACTGTAAACCTTTACTTATTTTGGACCATAGGATATTTGGAGTGTTGTGTGATGGATTTGAACATGATAAGATATTAATAGGATATTTTAAAATATTTTACGATATATTTTTTGATATTTCAGATAGGATATCTATGGGAGATTGTTTTGTCATCTGCGACAATTTGGGATATCCTGAGGATAAAGTATGCTGTATGAATAATAACTCCGTAACTAATTCTTATGGCAATTTGAAGAGAAGAAAGATACAGTGAGGCAGAGCAAATTGCTTACCTGAACACATTCGCGTCCTCTTTCTTCTTGTGAATGTTACAGTTCTTTTTTGTTGAGTTCTTGTTTGTTGAATCAACAGGACTACATTTACTGGAAACGTAGGAGAAGTTGCCGTCTAGGAGAGATGGGTCCCAGTTCTTCGCAGCCTCTTCGGCTGCTATTCGAATGCAGGTAACTGCGTCCATCTTTCGACGCAACATCCTACCTACATTTTCGCTAATTATGTTGATCAACTCTTCTCCGGACTTATCTTCAACTCGTGCGTTCATGCTTTTGTATTTCTAAAAGGATTATTACTTGTTTAACTACTTGTTTAATAATTATTTATTTAACATTAATATTTTTTATTATGTTTTATCCGCAGTATGTTAGAAATATATAAATTAAAGATGTTTAGAAAATTATATAAAAGAATTTTATATCATTAAAAAAATAAGATATATTTCTTCTTGCTATAATAAATTCACTGTGATGAATTATAAATTAAATATTAAAATGAATGCAGATTTGCTTTTTACAAATAATTACAAAATTATATTAAAGAAATATTGTAATTCGACTTTTTTTTTGTTTTGATAAAATCAAGTAAAAATATGTTACATAGAAAAGATTTCTTGAATTCTCAGTATTTGAAATTTATTACCTCAAGTAAATACGGATACTCACTTCTAACAATTCCTCGGGCCGGACCATTTCGTTCGCGAGTTCCCATAACTCATTTCCCAATTTATCCGCCCATCTGGCCACGCTAGTAAGAATTAAAAAATTGTAATATTTAATTTAAATATCCAGGAAAGTACACCGATTTAATTAGAGTTGTAGTCGAAAAATATAATAATAATAAGCAATACAAATTAAAATACACTATAAAGATAAATATAATAATTAATTAACAAATTAGTTTAGCCTATCTCTATTTTATGTATATAAACTTGTTCAAATAGATAATTAAAAACAAATCTTCTAAATATAATCTTGCATGTAAATATTATTTTCTAATTTTTCTAATATTTTTATTCTATATTTCTAATTTTTTAATTTTCTTTTTATTTATAATATCTATTTAAAGCACATTCATGACTTGTGTTCTTTACAACGCAATGCGGAACTCACATGTGAGCATCTTTAGCCAAACATACGATGAATATCAACACGAAGTAAAAGATGAAACATCGACCTATACTCGGCATGAATAAAGCTCGCCACGTCCGTTTCCTCTTTCTTTGTAGTCTTCGCGCTATTTGTTCCTATGATATGGAACGTTACGCTCTTTAACTCTCTAGAAAAAGCACAGATATGCGAAAGCTTATCCTGGCAGATCAGGCACTCGATTGGCTGTATGTCTACTGCGGAACAAACCAGCTGCGAAGTTCGCCTCTAGATTATTTTTGGCACTCGAGCGTCTTGAAATTCTAAAGCTGCTTTCTTGTTTCCTGGCGTGGATATTATTAAAATCATGCCGGTCAGAACATTTTTTATATATATTTTTACATATTTATGTATAAAAAAATTTTTACTGGAGGTACATATATAGTTGGATTTCCAGATAAAAATGTTGTCTGATGTTTACAATTCTAAATACGTTAGATATTGCAATTTGCAAGGAATTTACGATTTACTGATTTACTGATATTAGGAAATAATACACGGTTTATGTATTCATATAGTATCATATATTCATATATTCAATATATTCCTGTATTTAAATTAGTAACTTCTTATAGATTTCCCAATGAAAGATAGATCTGTAATTACATGAAGATTTGTACTCATTTGAAAACAGATAATAGACGATAAATATTTATCCTGAATTTGAAATTTTAAATATGCATCGCATAGAACAAGATTTGCAGATAAGAGTTGGCGTGGAATATACCTGGAATTCCAAATATTGGGATATAACAGAATTTCCGTGCAACAAATTTGACTTGAATTGTTTGACATTCCAAATATGCATCGGACAGAATGGGATTTGCAGACAAGAGTTGATGTGGAACTTATCTGGAAATGTACTTTGGATAACAGGATTTCCAGTACAAGAAATCACATCTAACTAGCTATTCAAAATCATATATGGACATGCTTAGAATTTTTAGCAAGGTAGGCAATCGATTTGTAAGCAAACGAGATTCTTCCTGATTCAAACAGCGAGTATGCAAAAATGCTTGTGTTTTATGATATCAATCAATTATGTGCATAAGACGAAGACAATACATATAAGAATATACATAAATGCATATAGTCAATGATATAAATATCACTGTATAAACTCTAAAAAGTGTTAAAATACAATTTTAAGAGCAAGTTTTTCAAGCAAGTCTGAAAGAAATCTTTTAGTAAAGTCATAAAAGCGTCTTAGCAAAAAAATTTATTGAATTTTACTCTGTACCAAACGCAATATTCCAGATTTATTACACTTACAAAAATATTTGCAAAGAACATCAGAGAGTGTCTAATATTATATTCCGCGGAACGGATGTGTATACTTGGCGCGAGACACTATTGTATCTCTTGATAATATTATATAAATTATTTTTCAATTACACAGAAAGTTAATGTATGCTAAAAGATTTATCAATAATTTCTCCAAATTATTAATAAAAGTATAAAAATATTGAAAATATTAGAAATAATAAAAAATAGGTAAAAAATTATTCACAAAATAGCAGTTACAAATAAGAAAAATATTTTAGAAAGTTCTATAGGTAAATATATATTTTGCGAAACATTTTCTTTTGATCGATCTGATCAGTCCAACTCCTTTTAAATGTGTCTATGTCTTCCTCTATTACATCTTTACACTTTTTTATCAGTGTTTGAATTTCGTTCAAAATGTCCATGTCTTGAAAAAAATTATTCAAGAAATTTTCTACCTGAAACAGAGTATAATACGAAATGTTTAATAATTAGTAATTTATTCCTATGTGACATAATTTTTAATAAAATATAGTTTTTAGTTTTAACATAACTTTAACAAATGATATGTACATCTATGCTATGGACAAATAATAAATTTAACTTAATTATTAATTGCGTACTGTATGTCGCGTATATAATAACTGCATCAGCTGTCTGGGTTGGTGGAGCAGATTAAACTGAGCAGAAGCTTTCTATCATTTTTGCGTGAATTTTATTTCACGTCATAGATCTAGATAAAATTTGTAAAAAATTTTTAGTGTATATTTACTTATACATTTGCTAATATCAAAATAAATACGACATTATGAATATAACAACATTACTGCTTATATATGATATAATCAGTTGTCGAAATTTCTAAAACTGTGAGCAATGGTGATACATTAAATTGTCCACAACATAATAATGCACCTTATATAATATGAGTATTTTTCTTTACAGTCGTAAAATCAAATTTATGTCTAAACACGCATGTTTGTATAGTACATTCTCTAACTTTAAGTTATTTTGATTTAATTATTTTCATTCTTAATAATTCAAAAATGTATTTTATTTGTTTAAATTTGTAAAAAAGATATCTTGTTTTATCAACAATAAATTTAAACGCTGATTTAAGCAGATAGAGTGCTTCTATAAATATGTTTTATTCAATAATTATTATAGTCGTTTGCTATAAATAGCAAACTGTACATGTTCCAAAAAATGTCTCAAAGAGGACAATTTTCAGATGATTTTCTAAAAGTTTGAAAGACATCTTTTGGTGAAATCATAAAGTCGTTCAAAAAAAGATATTTCTCAAATTTTTCTATTGAATATATATAATATATTTCAGAATTATTACATTTATAAAAATATTTTACAAATAACATCAGAGAGCATCTAATATAATATTATATAAATAATATTATA